GTAGACAAATGTGTGATCCTATCACTAACATCTTTAACTCAGTTACCCATTTACTCCAGTTTCAGATCCCTAAACACCCGATCTCATTTCAGTTACAGGTTTCGACCTTGAAACGACCGAAGGATACCACGAAACACTCAGATCCAGACAAGGTTCGTCAGTCCGATCTAAGCTTCCGTTCAGATCCCTAAACACCCAATCTCATTTCAGTTATAGGTTCCGACCTTGAAACGACCGATCTCGCTGTAAAGGATACCACGAAACACTCAGATCCAAACAAGGTTCGTCAGTCCGATCTAAACTTCCGAGCTCAAGCCGCATTCTTTTCCCATCACTCTCTTTACGTTGTAGTCCGTTTCCGAGTTAATATCAATAAACGAGAATTTTCGATCCCCTTTACTGTTTATAAATTTATTGTCGAACTCACGGTTCAACACATATTGCCTTCCATCCCAAAAATATTACTCTTCATCCTACCAGGTAATGAAGCAACATTTTGAACTAGTTAGTATACACATATTGCTCAGGGGTGTAATCACATACTTAAGACCTCAAAAGACCCACGAGAAATTACAAATACATTTTGATGGTATTTGTTGCGCTGATAAACTTGTTGTAATTTTCATAGCATTTGCAAGTCTGTGTCGAGATTTTTTTTATCTCTGCGGCCATCTGAACATGCCTTTGCAGAAGCACTTCCAGATTCGACTTTTTAATCTGCAACAAGCCAAATAAGACAACCAAATTGTGGCATTTGTTTCGCACAATTGAGTCAGGAACTATCAAGCATTACAGGAAGATTTTTGACTTAGTAAATTTGGCAGAATTCTCATCAAGCGCACACCCAATCAAATTTCTAACCAACACCCCCCCCCCATAAAAAGAGCAGAATCTAAGTTGAAGTGAATCGGAGAATGCATAATCCTGAATGAAACTTAATCCAAATGAATACCCAATGACTGGTAAAAAGCTAATGAGGTTTGTATTGCAGATTCACCTGTTTTCTGCGAGAAGAAGAAACTAACCATGAGATCCATGTACTGATCTGCATCGAAGGAAGTGCTATTGATGTTATCGAAGGAGGTACTGATCGAAGAAGTAGTATTCGAGATTGAAGGATCCAGAGCGTAAAAGCTCGACAATAGATCTCTCATTCGCTTCGCCTTCTCATCCCCCCGGAACCGCTTCCGTCGCCATTTTTCTTCTCGCCGATCCACGAGAATTTCTGTTAATTATGCA